ATGGGGGTTTCTCAGTACTGGGTTGTAGCTGGAAGGGCATCCGCTGTGTAAAACATATGCTGAAATACTTGTCGGTTCATTCCGCAGCATGCATTTTAAACCCAATTCAAATGCATTAGTTTGTAATGTTGTGACTTGAAGCAAAACTCCAGGACTTTTTGGCAGATGTCAGCAGTGTTTGCCTCTCATTTACATAAAGTTCATAATTTCGCAACTTTCTGACGATCTCAACACTTGCTCTGCTGTCAATCCAACAGTTGCAAACCTGTGACTGAGCGTTTTTACAGCATGAGATGAGAAGAGAATAGTTTTTAAGTGTGAAGTTCATGTTGATCCAAAATGTTGTTTATTTTGTATGCATAGTGTGATAAGTAATGTAACGAATTAAAATAAGGATATAAACAAAATGGAAAATTTATCTACAGAGTTGAAGACAATTATTAATCATCCTGTGAAATTGTTGTAATAAATTTTAGATATTTTATTTGGTCTTTGCCATGATAACAGCATATAAAATTTTACTAGTTATTTAAAGTGCAATTTAAGTTAATTAGGTTAATTCATAGTAATTATTATAAGAAATGCTGTGAAAATATTCTTGCTCTGTTAGGAAATAGCAGACAGCACTTGGGAAATAAATAAAATAAAGTAAAATATAAAATAAAAAAATTTTAATAAAATTTTAAAATATTAAAATAAATGAACATATTAATAAAATAGCAACAATAAAGTAAGAAAATATATAAATAAAATATATAAACAAAATATAAAGATTAAATAAAATTAAAATTAAATTAAAGTAAAAGATACAAATTAAAATAAAAAATAATAAAATTAACTAAAAATATAAATAAAATAAGAAAATAAAAATATATTTAAGCAAAAAGAAAATAATGAACAAAATAAAATCTATAAATAAAATAAAAATAAAGAAATAACAAAGCTAAAAATATAAATAAAATTAAAAATATAAACCAATAAAATATAAATAAAATAACATAATTAAAAATATTAAATACAAATTATAAAGAACATATTAAATAAAATAATAAAAAATGAATATAATAAAATATTAAAATAAAATAAATGAAAAATAAATAAATAAAATAACAATAATGAAGTAAAAAATATAAATAAAAAATGTGAAGATAAAAAATATAAAA